TTAAATTAAAATTTAAAATTTGTTTTTTAGGTTTAATTTTTAAATGTATATTATATTTCATATTATAATTTCATGATCATTTTTATGAAGTCAAACATTGCTTTTAAAATGATTTCCAATTTGTATTCCCTAATACATAAAAGAATAATCCCATTGAAAAGGGAACCCAATGAACCCATTGAAAATGGGGAATCAGGGTATAAATAAAAAATGAAATATTAGCAAAATACCTACCATACAACGCGAGATAAACACGAAACACTATTCACTTGAGTGCAGATAATTGTAGCTACTCTGTCGCTGTCGTCGTATAATCCTTTTACTATTGCACAAATATTTATCACTTTGCGTTTAGATAATTTGCAGTCATTTCCTTTGCGGCTGCTGTTTCAGTTGCTGCCGCTGTTGTCACCAGTCACAAGTCACAAGTCACAAATGAATAAGTGAATAATCAGACTTTTGGCTTAATCGCTAACCCATTCCCATTCCCAATTCCGATGGCAGTTGCATGGGTCTGGCGAGCATTTMATTTCATTTCATTCAGTAAATTTCACTTTTAAGCGACAATGCCCGACGTGCTGCGAATCACACTTGTTGCTCGCGGACCGAAGACTCTCCAAGTCATTCGCACTGCTACGAGGAGCAGGAAACTTTAACTGAGGCTGAAACTGAGACTGAAGGCTAGAGGCTGTGTGCGGCGTACTCGTTGGCGCATCCGTTTCAAAACGCGTCCGTTTGTTAACTGATTTCGCGCTGTGTTGGCCAAAACTCAAATTCGAAAACTGCTCAAGAAGCGGCAGCGTCGACGTCGGCATTGGCAGTGGCATCGGCGGCAGCATCGGCGTTAGCGTCACTGCTGCAGTACAACGAACCAGACAAGCAGCCAGACTGAGACCCCAAGACACCTCGTCCCACCTTTCTGTTCCCCGCTCCCTCTCACTCTCTCTCTCTCTCTCTCTCTCTCTCTCCCTGTCAGTCTCAGTCCCTCTCTTCGCTTCTGCAGGCCAAGCGGCGTTTTCTTTACAATTGCCAGCTGCACTTGTCGCTGCTTTGCTGACCAAAGCGAATCAATATAAATGCGTCGCAGTCGCCGTCGCCGTCGGCAGCGGCGTCACTGCTCGCCAAAGTTGTCGTCTTTTATTATTTGTTGTTGCGGCTGCTGCTTCGACTGTCTTTGGCTTTGACTTTAGTCTCGCGCCTTCCACAGCTCCTCAGCTCCTCCGCCCCCTCCCCCCACTCCGTCTGCGCCAACAGACTCACTTTTCACTGCAACATGTTGCTGACTAACTGACTGACTAACTGACTGACGGCTGCAGACTGACCATGAAGTTGTCTACGCGGGGATTATCAAACACAACAAACCGGAGACAATGTTTACGCTTAATATGATATCAGCGAAATGTTAATCATATTCCTTTAGCATGTTAGAGATAGGCAACTGCTATGCGCTCTTAACCAAAGAGTATCTTGGCGAAATATTGGCAATATCTCTTTGAAGTTTAAATAAACTCGAGTAAGTCAGTAATTAGCGATTATCAAATCAATCGAATTTTTCTCCTTTACTTTGTATAGTTTATTTATTATTTCATTTAAAAAGATATAAGGCGGAATACCTTAGCAGCCAGTGCTTTATTCTATAACTTCGTTTTAATTTCATATTACCTGCAACCTCCAAATAAATAGTTAAATATATATAAATAGT